CATAGTGAAGCCCCCCATAGTGAAGCCCCCCCATACTCTTTTACCAGTAATCGGCCATCTTGCTGCTCCCATTCCCAGCTCTCCCCAATCCATGGCGCTCAGCCGTGCTGGAGCCTATAAATCGCTCCCACCGCCGCTCCTTCCATTCAGAAACCGCCACCCGCCCACACCCGGTCATTCCGTCCTGATCTCCGGACATCGCACAGCCCCTTATCACAGGGTGTACCAACATGGCGGAGGAGGAGGTGACGTCACTGAGCCGGTACATGACGAGTTAAAGAGCTGAAGTTGCCGATCAGCCTTAGCGAGCGGCTCGTTGGTCTAGGGGTATGATTCTCGCTTCGGGTGCGAGAGGTCCCGGGTTCAAATCCCGGACGAGCCCTGTTTTTTTTAATAAAATGCTTTTAAATTTCAGCTGTTCTGCTATAATGCAATACACTGTATAAATGTATTCTAAGTTATAAAATATAGCATATGTAATAATATAGAATTACCAATATGAAATACATTCAATATATAGATATAAAATACATAATAAGAATAAATGCAGATTTTTTTTATATCCGGATACTCTGTGTTACTGTGTATTACAATCTTTATAATATCCAGATACTCTGTGTTACTGTGTATTACAATCTTTATATCCGGATACTCTGTGTTACTGTGTATTACAATCTTTATATCCGGATACTCTGTGTTACTGTATAATACAATCTTTATAATATCCGGATACTCTGTGTTACTGTGTATTGCAATCTTTATATCCGGATACTCTGTGTTACTGTGTATTACAATCTTTATATCCGGATACACTGTGTTACTGTGTATTACAATCTTTATATCCGGATACTCTGTGTTACTGTGTATTACAATCTTTATATCCGGATACTCTGTGTTACTGTGTATTACAATCTTTATATCCGGATACTCTGTGTTACTGTGTATTACAATCTTTATATCCGGATACTCTGTGTTACTGTGTATTACAATCTTTATATCCGGATACTCTGTGTTACTGTGTATTACAATCTTTATATCCGGATACTCTGTGTTACTGTATAATACAATCTTTATATCCGGATACTCTGTGTTACTGTGTATTACAATCTTTATAGCTGGATACTCTGTGTTACTGTGTATTACAATCTTTATATCCGGATACTCTGTGTTACTGTATATTACAATCTTTATATCTGGATACTCTGTGTTACTGTGTATTACAATCTTTATATCCGGATACTCTGTGTTACTGTATAATACAATCTTTATATCTGGATACTCTGTGTTACTGTGTATTACAATCTTTATAATATCCGGATACTCTGTGTTACTGTATATTACAATCTTTATATCCGGATACTCTGTGTTACTGTGTATTACAATCTTTATATCCGGATACACTGTGTTACTGTATATTACAATCTTTATATCCGGATACTCTGTGTTACTGTGTATTACAATCTTTATATCCGGATACTCTGTGTTACTGTGTATTACAATCTTTATATCCGGATACTCTGTGTTACTGTGTATTACAATCTTTATATCCGGATACTCTGTGTTACTGTGTATTACAATCTTTATATCCGGATACTCTGTGTTACTGTGTATTACAATCTTTATATCCGGATACTCTGTGTTACTGTGTATTACAATCTTTATATCCGGATACTCTGTGTTACTGTGTATTACAATCTTTATATCCGGATACTCTGTGTTACTGTGTATTACAATCTTTATATCCGGATACTCTGTGTTACTGTATAATACAATCTTTATATCCGGATACTCTGTGTTACTGTGTATTACAATCTTTATAGCTGGATACTCTGTGTTACTGTGTATTACAATCTTTATATCCGGATACTCTGTGTTACTGTATATTACAATCTTTATATCTGGATACTCTGTGTTACTGTGTATTACAATCTTTATATCCGGATACTCTGTGTTACTGTATAATACAATCTTTATATCTGGATACTCTGTGTTACTGTGTATTACAATCTTTATAATATCCGGATACTCTGTGTTACTGTATATTACAATCTTTATATCCGGATACTCTGTGTTACTGTATAATACAATCTTTATATCGGATACGGTATTTTTGTGTATTACAATCTTTATATCCGGATACTCATGTTGCTGTGCGTTACAATCTTTATATCCGGATACACTGTGTTACTGTGTATTACAATCTTTATATCGGATACTCTGTATTTACTGTGTGTGCACAATACTTTATATCCGGATACTC